CGCTCCTCCGCCAAAACAAGCGCCAGTGACCCCGCCAAAGAAGGGTGGAAAAGACCAAGGAAAAGGTGGAAAATCTTATTCACACCGTGGCGGAGACTGGAACCAACAGGGATACTATGGATGGGGATATAGATGATTAAGCGATCTGACCTCTGCATAGGTCCTGATTGAACCTGGCGATGCGAGGATGCAATCGTTGCTCGAGATTTACCTCTACTTCATTTTGAATGATTTCTGAGAGGACTCTGAGCCGGCTAATTTAGAACCACACATTTTTTTTGAACATCACTGCATGAAACGCTGAGTTTCTACAGCGGTCTACGTCTCAACCGACGAAGGGACGGGAAGGTAAACTTCTAGTTCCATAGTCAACTTCGTGTTTTGATTTCTTTAATTCACATGCTTGAGTGAGACTCCATTCTGGCTACGCCACATTGGACGAACCTCAATGCTAGACACCGACTACGTCGTGTCTACATGCACGTGAACAGAACCTTCATTTTTTTTGGTAGAGATTGTAGCAAGCCGCCATGTAGATATGAAGTTCTGAAACGGACTTTAGCTCTCCATAATTCAATAAATGAATAGCTGCGAGTGTAATGGATCAATTCAAAGAACACTCCTTTGCGCGTAGCTGACAAAGTTGGCTATGCGTGGGGGGTGCGAATAGAGTGTAGGCTACGGATCACTGTATATATGCATAATCATACACTCTAGGATCCATCGTCAAAGGGGCACTCCGACATTGGCCTCTTTGGCTCAAGGACATACTGCTGCTACAGGGAAAATGAGAGCCATGCGGAAGCTTTTGGCCGCCTCGCTCAGTGAGTTCCATCATTGCGAACTGACAACTGGCAAGTATCACGCCAAACTCAATTAGCAGGAAGCATATATCGGCTGCGGGCAACAGGGTCCCCGATTCGCATATTTATTAAATTTTATATATTGTAATAATCTTTAATCCCCCTCGACTTCTCCACCTCTCGGAATTTTCGGCTCGGTTGTCCCTCAAAAATCAGACAACCCGGGTTGTCAGGCCACCTGGTCCTGATTCTTTGGAGATCCTTGTTGTGGAAACATGTTTGGCCATTAAACATTTGTAAAAATATGTTGTGGGTAGATTTCCTTTAAGAACCACCCAAAGCTTCAACATATATTTTCAAGGCTTTATAGGGGGGGATGTCTACAACTCCAACCCGGGTTGTTTGATTCTTTAGGCAATTGTTTGGCTATGTCGACGCGTGTTCCTGGTCCTGATTCTTTAGGCATTATCACTAAAGAATCCAGACATCCGGGTCAGGGACCGAATACAAAGGGGATTATTTGTATATAATATATATATATATAAGTTAAAGTTGGTTAATACGTTTGTGGATACACGATAGATGTACTGCTCCCTAGACATACACTATAAGATGTGTTTTGCTGGTTTATGTGGGTTGGCATAGTTTAGAGGTCCAATATGCCAACCCTGGAGGATGGGGTCAGATCTTGGCCTACATGGCTTTCTGCGAAGTCTCCCAGGAACAGACCCCAGGAACTGATGCGTATGCTGGAGACTTTGGATTCAAGGTGTTGACCGCGGCTGACCCGGCTGAGAAAACCAAAAAACTCAATGCCGAAATTGCAAACGGAAGACTTGCGATGATGGCCATCATCGGCATGTTTTTCCAGGCGGGCATAGGTGCTGTGAGCGTATTGTTTGTTCCAACTCACCAAGAAAAGAAACACCACAAAGAGTCTGAAAAAGGAAGCACAACTTTGTGTCATTCTGCTTGGTGTGTTCTGAGTTTCTGAAGTTTGTTTCTTGCCAGCCATATTTTCAGCACATCACATGTTTGATTGTTTGAGATTGTTTCAACATACTGTGCTACAGTATGCTACAGTGCTATGTCACTTGTATATTTACATACGCTTACCAGTAAGATGAGTTGTAGACTTTGTAGACTGTGCCTGGAAAGAGTAGTGACATGATCAGATTGTGAATTTGATATCATACGGTCGAAACATGGGCAAAGACATGGCAGATTTGATGAGTGATATTCGTTATATTGACCAAATGTGTATACACAAATAGCATTGCATATCACACCATATCATATCACATCATGTTGTATCATATCATTCTATACATATATATATATTGGTGCGGTGATATCAATAGAAGCATCTGTGAAAACGTTGATATTTCATGATATCTTGATACTACCACCCTGTCCTTTTGATCCTTGCCATGACTGCCATGCCAGAGGATGGTCTGACCGGAAGCGCCTGGGGAGACTGGGCCAACTACACAGCATCTCCTTTGCGCGCCTTCGAGAATGAACTCGGCGTGCAGGCGCCGGTGGGTTTCTGGGATCCCGCCGGATTTACCGCCGATGGAAGCGTGGAGGACTTCAAGCGACGTCGCGCCACCGAGATCAAGCATGGTCGCATTTCGATGTTGGCCACCATGGGATACATCACCCCAGCGGCTTGGATTTGCTGAAGCTGTGTTTTAAATCGTTTAAGACCATTTCAGTAAAGATCATTAAAGTATGTTTTTTTGTTAATGGCCATTTCTACAATTCCACTATAGTCGGGTGAACCTACTGGCAATGTGTTTTTTTCTTGAATGCATCCCGATGAAACAATCCCCAGGAGATCACTGGCAAATTCCCTGGCTACTTATCTCCATCCGCCGGTTTGAAGTTCGCCGATGTGCCTTGAATGCATCCCGATGAAACAATCCCCAGGAGATCACTGGCAAATTCCCTGGCTACTTATCTCCATCCGCCGGTTTGAAGTTCGCCGATGTGCCTAATGGTTTGGCTGCTATCTCAAAGGTCCCAGCTGCAGGACAGGGTTGAAACAACTGGTGTAGTTGCAGTTGCATTTGTGGTGGTGCAATGAGTGTAGTGTAACGAAATGTAATGTAATGTATTGTAATGTAGGATAGGGTAGTGTAGTGTAGTGTAATGGAGTGTAGTGTGGTGTGGTGTAGTGTGGTGTGGTGTAGTGTGGTGTAGTGTAGTGTGTAGTGTAGTGTAGCGTAGCGTAGCGTAGCGTAGTGTAGCGTAGTGTGTTGTGTAGTGTGTTGCGTAGTGTAGTGTAGTGTAGTGTAGTGTAGTGTGTTGTGTAGTGTAGTGTAGTTTTGTGAAATGCAATTAGTGTAGTGCAGTTGTAGTTGGTAGTTGTAGTGTAGTGTTCTGTAATGTATTGTCGTTGTAGATGTAGTTGTAGTTGGAATGGTAGTTGTGTGGTGTAGTGTAGTGTAGTGTAATTTAGTGTAGTGTACTGTAGTGGAGTGTAGTGTAGTGAGGTGTGGTGTAGTGTAGTGGAGTGGGGTGTAGTGTAGTGTAATGTAATTAGTGTAGTGTAGTGTAGTCTTATGTAGTTGTAGTTGTAGCTGTAGTTAGTGTAATGTAGTGTAGTTGCAGTTGTAGTTGTAGTTGTAGTTGTAGGCGTAGTGTAGTGTCATTCAGTGTAGTGTAGTGTAGTGTAGTGTAACTAGTGTAGTGTAGTGTAGCGTAGTGTAATGTAGTATAGTTGTAGTTGTAGTTGTAGTTGTAGTTGTAGTTGTAGTTAGTGTAGTGCAGCGTAGTGTCGTGGAAATGTAGCGTAGTGTAGTGTAATGTAGTGTAATGTAGAGTAATGTAGTGTAATGTAGTGTAGTGTATCTGAGTGTAGTGGAGTGTAGTGGAGTGTCGTGGAGTGTAGTGTAGTCTAATGAAGTGTAGTGTATTGGAATGTAGTGTAGTGTAGTTGTAGTGTAATGTAGTGGAGTGTAGTGTAATGTAGTGTAGTGTAGCGTAGTGTAGTGGAATGTAGTGTAGTGTAGTGGAGTGTAGCGGAGTGTAGTGGAGTGTAGTGTAGTGTAATGTAGTGTAGTGTAGTGGAATGTAGTCTAGGTGTAGTTGTAATTGTAGTGGAGTGTTGTAGTGGTGGTTGTAGTTGAAGACTGCCACGCGAAACGACATCTGAACGTCCAAAAGTGGTCGGAACCCGGGTGTTTTTCACATTTTAACTTCGAAATGTGCTTCGCGCCACAACGGCGTGCACTTTTTCGACGTCTCAACTTCCAAAAGTGGTCCCAGCATGTGGTGTTTTGTACATTTTGACTTCGACATGTGCTTCGCGCCACAACGGCGTGCACTTTTTCGACAGCTCAATTTCCAATAGTGGTCCAAGAATGGTGTGTTTTGTACATTTTGACTTCGACATGTGCTTCGCGCCACAACGGCGTGCACTTTTTCGACATCTCAACTTCCAAAAGTGGTCCCAGCATGTGGTGTTTTGTACATTTTGACTTCGAAGTGTGCTCCACAACGGCGTGCACTTTTTCGACATCTCAATTTCCAAAAGTGGTTCGAGAATGGTGTGTTTTGTACATTTTGACTTCGAAATGTGCTTCGCGCCACAACGGCGTGCACTTCTTCGACGTCTCAACTTCCAAAAGTGGTCCCAGCATGTGGTGTTTTGTACATTTTGACTTCGAAATGTGCTTCGCGCCACAACGGCGTGCACTTTTTCGACAGCTCAATTTCCAATAGTGGTCCAAGAATGCACGCAGGTCAGCCCTGGCAACTTGTTTTGAACCACAAAGCGGCTATGCCGTCTCGATTTGGCGTGTCATCCTGTGCAGGTGGCTGTGCTAATCTTCTCTGACTTTCTCAGCAAGACTGAAACCTACACAACTGAACATGCTGTTTCACGTTTCAAATTGGAGTGTCTGACATCCATGCACTCCTCCCAGGATTGACATGTTCATGCAATCCTGCTTTCTGGAAAATTTTGAGCTCTCTAGGCCCAAGCCGCTAAGCACACCTTTGGCATGCGTCATATCCGATCAGCTCTCCCACAACCTTAGGGCACTTCTTCTTCGTATGGACTAACTGGTTCTTATCCATCATCATCACGTCAGCCACCAAGTAGGTGTCGCCACATTCACCACAAAGCGGCTTTCTTCCTTTCCAAGACTGTGCCAACGTCGGGCATCCACTGCTTCTATGGAATCTCCTCCCATTTGGTGTGATGATTGGCCCCACCAGGTTCGGCTTCTCTGCACTATCTGGACGCGCAGACCGGGCTCCCTCTCCTTGGTTAGGCTTTGCACCACTCGGACCCGCAGACTGGGCTCCCTCTCCTCCAGGGTTCCCACAGCGCCATCCAGGAGTGGGCACTGCTCCGCTCGGACCCGCAGACTGGGCTCCCTCTCCTCCAGGGTTCCCACAGCGTCGTCCAGGACGAGCAGACTGGGCTCCCTCTCCTCCAGGGTTCCCACAGCTCCGTCCTTGAGCGGGCATAGGAGGCACTGTCTGTGCTCCCTTTTTGTCATGTCGTTCCTCCGTGCCTTTCTCGGTTGTGTGACTGTCGCTTCTGGTAGCGGAGCTTCCTCCTTCCTGTCTTTTTTCATTGGAACCTTTATTTTCAGCTTTTCTCATCCTCAGAGTCGCCACTTTCACGGTGGTCTGTTCTCCTTCTTCACAACTTATCTCTTCTTCTTCTTCGCGTACATGAAGTTGGTGACGTTCTCGATCGCGCATGAAGCCGCGAAAGTCGCGCGTAAGGCCGCGAGAGTCGCGCATAAGGCCGCGAGAGTCGCGCATAAGGGCGCGAGAGTCGCGCGTAAGGGCGCGAGCTTGGCATTCCTCGTGATCTCTCTTCTCATGAAAGATCTTCCACATTCTTTCTACCAACTTGTACAAAACCACTCCAAGGATCATCATCAACAAGCCAAATGCCGCCAAAACTTCTGATCCTTCTTCCGTCTCACTCTCGTCCATGGCATATACTCTTTCTACCTTCTGAAGTACCGCCATGAGGGTGGCGATCTTTACCACCTTTTCCATATCTCCTGCAAAGACCTTCTTGGATACCGTCACAGCTGGTTCTCTGTCCTGTTCCTCTGCCAATTTTTCTTCCTCTTTCTCAATCCTTTCTTCCTTCGCTCTGGAGAAAGCTACTACATCTGGTAGCCATTCCAGATTCATCTTCTTTGACAGATCCTTCGTTTTGTTGGCACCAAGAAGCTTTGTACCCATGTCTGCGACGAGCTCTGTGCCCCGTCGATGGTGCATCTTCCAGCCTCCAGCTTCCACCCTCCATTTGAGGTGTGTCGCACGTACTTTCAAATGCCGTGTGCGCCAAGCTCCTGTCCGCGTGGTGGACAAAGCCACGGCTGCCATGTTGTCACATACCAGCTGCTTATCCACTCTTCCTTCCAACTCCTCCACTATGCATGCTAAAGAGTCTCCAACTATGACTCCCTCGATGGCTTCTACCAGCTCAGTCTCTGCGGTAGACAAACAGGGGAAAGGCTGTTTTGAGGACCTCCACATCACTGGCGTACCTCCCATGCTTGCTACTACTGAGCCATGCGACAAACCACCACCTGGTGCAAAACTGGCATCTGTTGCCACTTCCAGGACATTCCCTCCCTTCTTCCTGAAGCACAGTCCCATACCCCAGGTTCTGTTGAGGTACTTCATGGTGTGTGCAGCTGCTCCTGCACACCATTTTGGAGACCTGGTTGCATTTGAACAGATACGGCTGGTAGTGTAAGCTAGGTCGGGTCGGGTCTTTCCGGCCAACCACAGCAGTTCTCCGGCCAGTTTTTGGGCCAGTTGGATCTCCTCTCTTGTCCTATCTAGCTCCTCCTCCGGCTCGAAGTTGTCTTTCAAAGGGGATGCCGCAAACTCCTTGCAGTTGTGGCGCTTCAGCACTTCTTTCACAAAGGACTGCTGTCCCGCAAAGTAATCCCCTTCGTTGTTCTTGTAGATCTCGATCCCGCAGAACCGAACTGGCTCTGTTTCAGTGACCCATTGAGGTTTGGTCACTTCCCATGTCTTCTGTATCTTTTCCACCACCATGTTGGTGATCTCCGGGTTCGACATGACCAACATGTCGTCCACGTAAATCAAAACCAATCCTTGCACCCCACCTTCATCTCTAAGGCTGGTATCCTTGATCAGCCAAAGGTTTTCTTCTGCAAAACTCGGCAGCAACTTCAACGTCCTGCCTCCTTGTTGTATTTCCATGCCATGTAGGGTTCCATCCCTGTGATCACTCCACAGGCGAGGCGACTCTCTCAGTCCATAGAGGGCACGTTCCACTAGCCAAAGCTCTCCAACTTCGATCAGACCTAGTCTTTCCAGAACCCGCGGTGGTTGCATCAACACAATGCGGCCTCTGTCTCTTGTTGGGTCTTCTCTTGGTTGTGGTTTCTCATGCACGTCCCCCAGCTGCGCGTTCAAAAACGCTGCAACCACATCTAAACCTGCAATGTCCCACCCATAGCGTGCTGCCATGGACAGTGCAAGTCGCAGGCAGATTGTGTCTGCCCCTCCTGCATAGTAGTTGGCATGTTCCTCCTTGGTTTCTTTTTTGTCTCCTCCTTGAAGGTGATTCCCACACACCACCAGGCGGCATTTCCTCTTACCATCTGGTGCTTTTATCGTGTGTACTGCTTTTCCTGGCACCACCTCCAACTTGTCTGCATGCTCTCTCTTGTAGTACGCAGCTTCCTCTTTGGTCAGCCTCTTGACTGCTCCTTTCTGCACCAAATTGTTAATCTCCTTTCTGATAGCTCCAACCCACTCATCTTTGTTTTGATACACTTCCTGGTTGGAAACTACCCTGGTCTGTAGCACTTCTTCTTCAAGTCGGCCTTCTTGCAGTGCCGCCATTTCCTTTCTGATGGCAATCATCCCTTTCATCACTGCCGGAATGACCTCGTCTTCATCCTGCTCCAAAACTGCCTGGAACAGCTTGATACTTTCTGCAAATTCTTCTTCTGGAATCCTCAAAGAAGCGACTGACATCTTTTTCCTCAGTCTTCTTCGCGCTTCCATAGGGTCCCTTTCTTGAATCACTTCTTCTAACTCCAACTTCTTTTCTTCTTCCTGCGGCTCTTTGCAGTCCTGGATCAGGCAGCTCACCACCTTGAAACTTCCATCTTCTTCCATAACCGCATGTCCTTTTGAAACTTCTGGGATTGGAGTCAGGTAAGTGACTTCCTGTGCTGTCGTTTCAAATTCATCTCCTCTTTTCCATTTCCGCTTTCTTGTCACTATCTTCTGTCCAAACCTTGGCAGTTTGTCCTCAATCCTTTCAAACCTTCTTCTCTCCAGCTCTACCACATGTCGTGCTGCAATCGGCCACCACTTCGTCTCCATGCCAGAGGAGTGCAAGAGACGTCGCACCCTTCCCTTGATAGAAGCTATTGCAGCTTCTGCTCTTCCATTTTGTTGGTGTTCTTCTGGGGTGGACGATGTCCTCACAATTCCTCGGTTCAAGCACCATCCCTTCAAGTGCTTGTTGACAAAGGTTGTTTCATAGTCCGTGTGCAGGCGTACGACTGGGTAGCCATACCTTCTGAGCTTCACCACCAATTCTTGGACTCCTGACAAAACATCCAGCGCATGCTTTGAGGCTAATGGCACACATGTCATCAGCTTCAGCATTCCTTTTGTCTTCAACTTTTCTTCCAGCCTTCCTTCTTCAGTCTTCTCCTCAGCACTTTCTGCATCCTCAGGAGGCTTCTCTTCCTCCCCTTTCCTTTTCGATGCTGGTCTTGAAGGTAAACCCTCTGCTTGAGCCTCCTTCTTGGGTGGCGAGGAAGAAGACGCTGACGCCTCCCTTTGCTCTACCTCTTCATCTTCCAAAACCGGAAGCATTTCATCATCTTCAGCAGTCTCCTCATCCAACATCCCCAAGCTTTCATCAGAGTCCTTACCTTCCACTGGCCACGTGTAGGAGCCGACCAAAAGGTATTTCTTCTCTTCACCATCCACGTCCTGACCCCACTTCAATGGGCCACAAATGTCAACAGCTAAACAATGCGCTTCTGGATCATCATGTCTTCTATGCGCTTCTGGATCATCATGTCTTCTATGCGGCCTTTGTCTCGCTGCTGACCTCTGGCAAACCACGCAATCGCGCCGAAACGGCACATGTCCATTGTCAACGTGGGCAGTCCACGACAACTTCTTCAGTCGAACTTCTTTTCCTTCTACTTCCTCTATCAAAAGCCTTGCAACTTCATGCATCATCCCAGGAGCCCACCTCGAGAGCTTACTGGAATCCAGTTCTGGACCTTGTTCTCTGCTCCTCCCACCATGTACTAGTGGGTCTGGTGGTTGAAACCCAAGGTTTGTTCCGCATGTTGTTGGCTTTCTCGCTTCACCTCCAAAATCTCCTTGGTAAAACGTCACTTCTTCCATCTGGTAGTAGTGCTTGAACAGCAACCATGTTCGATTTCTCCACCACGAAGCGCATTCTGGACACCACTCCGGTGCTGCTGGCTGCTCCAACAGAAATCCAACCTTGGCCTTCAAACACCTCTTGCTTCTTTCTTTCACCATTGCATCTCTCGCTATCTGTGCAACCATGTACAGGGTCAGCATCCTCAGCATCAATGCATCGTCCTGCAACAACTTTCCTTGTTCATCAGGGGGAGCATCTGGAAGTCCCCAAGGGTATCCCGCCGTCCTCGATGGTCCTGGGAAGCCTTCTCTTGGAGTATGTCGCAGCACTGAACGTGTACGGCAATTTGGGCCACCAACCACTGCATCAATGGCTCCTAGCATCGCCAGCTTGAGGAGGGTACTGTACATCCCTCCAATTCTCAACATGTCATGATGTGCTCCTCTCTTCACGTCTATTTCGATCAACCTCGTGCCATCACCTCCCTTCTCCAAGTAGGCTCTCTTCAGAGTCAGGCCTTCTTCTGGCCCGGCGTACAAATGTACAGTGACCCCTTGTTCAATCCATCGTCTCCTGGTTCTTCTGTTGGCCTTCAAAAGCGAAAGGTCTTCGGCCGGCACTTCCACTAGGTTGTCCTTGACAAGTGAGGGTATTGAGGCCAGTACTGGATGTTTCTCTACCAACTCAGCCATCCATTCTGCGCCCCAACATGCATCATCATATGCCACTTTTTTCATGCTTCGAAGCGACATCATTCCTTCAAGTTCATCCACCATCTTTTCCGCTTCTGCCTGGGTGATCTGTGGACATCCTTCTTCGACCTCCACTGCTATCTGTCCCCTGATGGGGTGGAAAAGAAAGCATTCATCATCTTCCCACTCAAAGCTGCATCCCAGTTCTCGTACTAGACGACCAACTGGTAGTATCGGTTCCATCCCTGGTTCTTCATGTACCAGGGTTCCTCCATCCGTCATCCACATTGTCTTTGAACCTCCAGCTGCAAGGTTCACTCTCACTTTCTTGTACTCTTTGCCCTCAACCAGGTTCTCATCACTCCTCTTGGACCTCAGAGCGTGAGTGGCTCCAGTATCCAGCAACGCTTTCTTGCCGAACTTGACTCGTGCAACCATGGCAGTCTTCATCATATTGATTCTAGGCTTCCACGATCCGTCCTGAATCTGTTGCAACTCCTTCTGTAGCTCCAGCATCCGTCCTTTGGTCATTTCTTCCCTGGTCTTTGTAGGCTTTTCTTCAACTCCCATGCTCTTCAGCATCTTCGAAGCTTCTTCCATGACGCTTTGCAGAGAGTCTCCTCCAACACTAGCAACTTCTTCTTTGGTGGTCTCAGCCTCCTTTGTTGCCACTGCTGGGGCCTCAGCAGGGGCAGGGCTCTTATTGGCGGTTTTGTTGGGGGTCTCAGCCTCCTTTTCCACTTTCTGCACCTTTGGGTCTTTTTGAATGTCCTTGCGTGGACACTCCCTCGCAAAATGCTTGGTGGATCCGCACACATAGCACCTTTTCTCCCCTGGCTCTACATTGTGTCCCCAAGTGCAAGCTGCACCACGTCTGCAACCATCCTCCTGATGAAAGAACTTGCATTCCTTCACATTCTTTTTCACATTCTTGTCCTCTGTGCTCCCACTGCTTGCGGCGTTCAACTGCTTCACCTGGCTGGTTGTGGCTGTCGCTCTTTCTGCATTAGCCACCTTTGACCTTTTCTCCAAGTGGACCAGTTGCTCCAGTTCCGACAGTAGGTGTTCAGAGTACGTCCTCACAGTTTGATGGTTTGGAATTGTATCCAATTGGAGTGTGTTTCTGACAAGTGAGGTTCTGAAAGCTAGTTCTGGGTTGTTGTTCAGCAGCTTCTTCATCAACTTTGTCAGACCACGCAAAAGTATAGTGGAATCGGGTAAGCATAACCCGACATCCTGAGCTCTTCTCAACCATCGCAACCACTTCCGAAGACTTTGGACTCCAGTCACTGCGTTTCCTGCTTCGCCAGGATCCTCCAACTGACGCAGAATCACAGTTCGTTCATGTAGTCCACCAGGCTGGTAGATGGTCATCAACTTGGCAATCACCTTCACTGGAGAAAGTGACTTGGTAGCAACAAGCTCTTCTCTCACTCCAGTGGGTATGGCATCCATGAGCATGGAAACAGCTCGGCGTTCCACTCGAACCCACTTCGTCTTCTTCAGTTCTTCAGAGGCCTCGATCTCAAAGCTTGTTCTTTGAAGTGGTCGGAGCTTCACATACTCAGAGTACCATGCGCTGCATTCATCCAGCACAAGTCGCCACCAAACATGCGAACTGTCTGACAGATCCGTCATCACCGGCTCTATCATGGTCAACCAGTCGGCATAGTCAATGGGGGCCGTTTCGGTCGGCTCCTGGAGGGTCTGCAACTTGTTCACTCCAGGTTTGACCGCTTCCATCTTTTCTCCATCATCTTTACCTTGCTGACTTTCCAGAAGGTGCAACATCATCTTAGACAGGACATCAACCTGCCTTTGCATTCTTCCATCATCAGCTGGCTCCAACGCATTTCCTTGGTTCTTCCTGGCATCTCCTCCAGTCCCTTTCTCACCTGCTTCCTTCTTTGGAACATCTCTTTCTTTCTGTCGTGCTCCTTCTGAAGGTTGATGAGATTCCCAAGGTCCTCGAAGGTCTCGTCCAGGAGGTGGCTTCTTCACTGAACCCACCGCAGCATCCATCACCTTTTGCAATTCATCATATTGCTCCATCGGTGTCAACTCGTACAGCCTTCTCCTCTCGGATTCCAGGTCATTCTCTGTCTTCACAACCCGGTCTTCAGCTGCACGGCTTCCTTGCTGTTGGCTTTCAGGAGTCTGAAACCCTTCCACTTCAGGCTTAGCCTTTCTTCCTCCTTCGCCATTTGGCACCTCTACCTCAGAGGTCTTTCTTTCTTCCTTCTCCCTCAGCTTTTCTTTCAGCAACTCCTGTTCCATCTTCAGCTGCATGTTCTCTTGCTGCAACATGAAGAAGTACTGCATCATCTGCTGCTGATAAATCACTGAGGGCGTACCAGCAGGCATCGCTGCAGGTCTTTCTGCAGGTAGAAACTTCGGTCTTTCCAACTGCACATCTTCCAAAGCTAAACCTGAAGACCTGGCTTCATCCTCTATTCCTAGCTGCGTCCTCTGTGGACTTCCATACAACAGAGGTGCTCTGTTGTGCAGTTCTTCAAACTGCCTCACTTGTTCTTCGGTGAACAGCGGCTCTAGCTCTTTTTTGGGTTCTTCATTCTCTACATCTTTCTTTTCATCTTCAAGTTCCAACATTTGAGGGTTTTGAGGTCCATAACTCACAGGTCTCCCAGTTGGCCCAAGCATCTCCTCTTCTGGCCTTTCTTCGCCTGATCGGTCAGCTTCAGGACTTCCACTGGCTCTCCTGCGCATCATCATGGCTCCTCAGCAGCGGCTAACGACAGGTTGGGCTCATAACCTGCACGCAGGTCAGCCCTGGCAACTTGTTTTGAACCACAAAGCGGCTATGCCGTCTCGATTTGGCGTGTCATCCTGTGCAGGTGGCTGTGCTAATCTTCTCTGACTTTCTCAGCAAGACTGAAACCTACACAACTGAACATGCTGTTTCACGTTTCAAATTGGAGTGTCTGACATCCATGCAAAGAATGGTGTGTTTTGTACATTTTGACTTCGACAGTGCTTCGCGCCACAACGGCGTGCACTTTTTCGACATCTCAATTTCCAATAGTGGTCCGAGCATGTGGTGTTTTGTACATTTTGACTTCGAAATGTGCTTCGCGCCACAACGGCGTGCATTTTTTCGACATCTCAACTTCCAAAAGTGCTTCGAACGTGAAGTGCTTTTAGCTTTTTCACTTGCAAATGTGCTTCGCGCCACAACGGCGTGCAATTTTTCATCTCTCATCTGGCCAGCTGGCTCCGCACCCGCCGCTTTAGAGAGCCTACTTTTCGACCCTCCAGAGCCACAAAACATTGGAAAGACACAGTGTCTGGCGACTTTCCTACCTTTTCGGGCACCTAGATCTTCTTTCTTCTGAGACTTTCTCTTCTCTGATCTTCTCTCTTCTGCTCTTCTCTTCTCTATTCTTCTGCTCCACCTCTGCTTTTCATCTGTCCGTATTTTCGGAAGTTTAACTTCTAATAAGCCATCCGTTAAAGTTGATTGATATGTTTGTGGATACATCATAGATGTACTGACCCCTAGAGATACACTATAAGATGAGTTTTGCTCATTTATGTGGGTTGTCATAGTTTAGAGGTCCAATATGCCAACCCTGGAGGATGGGGTCAGATCTTGGCCTACATGGCTTTCTGCGAAGTCTCCCAGGAACAGACCCCAGGAACTGATGCATATGCTGGAGACTTTGGATTCAAGGTGTTGACCGCGGCTGACCCGGCTGAGAAAACCAAGAAGCTCAATGCCGAAATTGCAAACGGAAGACTTGCGATGATGGCCATCATCGGCATGTTTTTCCAGGCGGGGATAGGTGCTGTGCGCTTATTGTTCGTTCCAACTCACCAAGAAGAGAAACACCACAAAGGTCCACAAAGAGTCTGGCTGAATGAGCGGAACAACAGCACAATAGATTCAGCATATTTGAATAAGGAAACACCATTTTGTGTCATTTCGCATGTTGTGTTCTGAGTTTCTGAAGTTTGTTTCTTACCTGCCATCATGTCAGCACACCGCATGTTTGATTGTTTGGTGTTGTTCTTAAAGAAGAGTGCGCTACAGTATGCTACAGTGCTACGTCGCCCATATATTTACACACGCTTGCCAACAAGGTGAGTTGTAGAATGTGCCTGGAAAGAGCAGTGACATGACCAGATTGGGAATTTGATATAATTTTGTCGAAGCACGCACAAAGACATGGCATTTGCAGATTTGATGAATGATGTTCGTTATATGGACCAAATTTGTATACACATATAGCATTGCATATCACACCATATCATATCACATCACGTTGTATCAAATCATACTATATATATATTATATGTATAGAAATTGGTACTCTGAGATTAATAGAAACATCTGTGAAAACGTGGATATCTCATGATGCCTTGATGCTACCACCCTGTGCTTTTGATCTCTGGCCATGCCCCAGGATGGTCTGACCGGAAGCGCCTGGGGAGACTGGGCCAACTACACGGCATCTCCTTTGCGCGCCTTCGAGAATGAACTCGGCGTGCAGGCGCCGGTGGGTTTCTGGGATCCCGCAGGCTTTACGGCCGACGGAAGCGTGGAGGACTTCAAGCGACGTCGTGCAACCGAGATCAAGCATGGTCGCATTTCGATGTTGGCCACCATGGGATACATCACCCCAGTGACTTGGATTTGCTGGAGCTGCGTTTAAGATCGTTTCAGTAAAGTATGTTTTTGTTAACATTTCCGTTTCTGCAATGACACTATAAAGTTGCGGAATGTACTGGCAATTTGTTTTTGAATGCATCCCGGTGAAACAACCCCCAGGAGATCACTGGCAAATTTCCTGGCTACTTATCTCCATCCGCCGGTTTGAAGTTCGCCGATGTGCCCAATGGTTTGGCTGCCATCTCAAAGGTCCCAGCTGCAGGACAGGGTTGAAACAACTGGCTCCATCTGATAATCAAAGTATCCAAATATATCATATGAGCAGAAACCTAAAAGGTTCATGGAGAACCTCTACATGAGAGGTCCTGTGGTTGAAAACGTGTCGCAAAACCATGCAAAGCGATATCGTGAACTACTGAAAGCATCTTAAAGCGACAACGTTATTTGATGGTGAAGTTGTGAAAGGTATTATTGTTTTTCGCAGCCTTTGGGATTGTATAATAAGCTCGTATGTATTGTTTTAGTATCTGTCGGATGTGAGTCCAGGGGCTCCCAAAAGGCCTAGAGTACGCACTTCTGACCACAGGACTTGCTGCCAAAACCTGCTACGACAGGCTCTGGAAAGCAGAGACTGTGCTTGAGAAACAATCTTTCAATATCCTTGTTTCCTGATTTTACCAGATGAAATTAGCAATAACCAAATCGACAAAAACAAATCGACAACGTAGGGATAACCAAAAAAATCCACAAGTGGCACCGGGCAGCCAGAGACCCAACCCATCCCTGGAGTGGCGCACTTCAATTTTGTGTCAAGTCTTTGAAACATCTACTTGGCGTGGTCCAGCTTGGCCTTGAAACGTACCATTGAATATAGCTTTGATCTAATGACCCAAAATTCTGAACAGAATCTGCAGAAGCAGAAGGCGCGCAACACTGCAAAAACTAAGCTGTTCTGAGGGAAATTCTTTCCGCACTCTAAAGGAAAACAATAGACAGCAGAATGCTGACCATGAAGTGCCCTTATTGTTGATGTGGAGATGAATTGAAATAGATTTGCAAATCAATAGCCATTGTTTGACATTCTACAAACCACGTGAAGCGATATAGCGAACTACCTTAATCGATAACTTTTCCTCAGGACCGCCTAATATATATATATATATACATGTGGTTTACAGATGTTTACAGTAAATCATCCGTTAGAGTTGGTTGGTATGTTTGTGGGCACACCATAGATGTACTGACCCTAGAGATACACCAAAAGATGAGTTTTGCTCATTTATGTGGGTTGTCATAGTTTAGAGGTCCAATACGCCAACCCTGGAGGATGGGGTCAGATCTTGGCCTACATGGCTTTCTGCGAAGTCTCCCAGGAACAGACCCCAGGAACTGATGCGTATGCTGGAGACTTTGGATTCAAGGTGTTGACCGCGGCTGACCCGGCTGAGAAAACCAAAAAACTTAATGCCGAAATTGCAAACGGAAGACTTGCGATGATGGCCATCATCGGCATGTTTTTCCAGGCGGGAATAGGTGCTGTGCGCGTATTGCTCGTTCCAACTCACCAAGAAAAGAAACACCACAAAGAGTCTGGCTGAATGAGTGGAACAACAGCACAGCAGATTCAGCATATTTGAATAAGGAAACACCATTTTGTGTAATTTCGCATGTTGTGTTCTGAGTTTCTGAAGTTTGTTTCTTACCTGCCATCATGTCAGCACACCGCATGTTTGATTGTTTGGTGTTGTTCTTAAAGAAGAGTGCGCTACAGTATGCTACAGTGCTACGTCGCCCATATATTTACACACGCTTGCCAATAAGGTGAGTTGTGGAATGTGCCTGGAAAGAGCAGTGACATGACCAGATTGGGAATTTGATATAGTTTTGTCGAAGCACGCACAAAGACATGGCATTTGCAGATTTGATGAATGATGTTCGTTATATGGACCAAATTTGTATACACATATAGCATTGCATATCACACCATTTCAAATCACACCATGTTGTAGCAAAACATAGCATATATACAGATTTATGGATTTATTTACTTATTTTTCATTTCTTCATGTATTTATTTATTTATATATATATATGTACTGGTACTCTGATCTTAACGGAAACATCTTAGATATTTTGCTACTGCCACCCTGTGCTTTTGATCTCTGGCCATGCCCCAGGATGGTCTGACCGGAAGCGCCTGGGGAGACTGGGCCAACTACACGGCATCTCCTTTGCGCGCCTTCGAGAATGAACTCGGCGTGCAGGCGCCCGTGGGTTTCTGGGATCCCGCAGGTTTCACGGCCGACGGAAGCGTAGAGGACTTCAAGCGACGTCGTGCTACCGAGATCAAGCATGGTCGCATTTCGATGTTGGCCACCATGGGATACATCACCCCAGTGACTTGGATTTGCTGGAGCTGCGTTTAAGATCGTTTCAGTAAAGTATGTTTTTGTGAATGTTTCATAATGTTTCCGTTTCTGCATTTACACTTTATAATCCCTCCGCCCTAATATTAAACGTCCCCCCTCCCAAACAATAGAACCTACGGGTAGTTTTTGTTATCAGGGGGTTTGAATATTTGGGGGAGAAGCTCGTCCCTAAGATTAAGTTTAAAACGTGAATTAAAATGCTAAACTTTTTGATTTCAAAATCGGCTTACTGTAATTTCTTTTTTGAAATTCAGTTAAGATATTACCAACAATTGGATTTCGAAGCTTTCCCCTTATATTAAACTTTAAACATCAATTTTAAAAACTAAAACTTCCGATTTCAAAATCAGTTCAGTTCTTTTTTGAAATCTAATTAAAATGTTGCTGAAAATCAAATGTCGAAGCTTTCCCTAATATTAAATTAACAGAAAAGGACGCTGTCAGGTCCCCATTTTTCCACGTTTCTGGGAATGCAGTGTTTCTGCTACATCATGTTCGATCATTTATGTTCATATACCTGTGATGGTATTGCTAGAGATCCACACAGATTGTCAGACTTCCTCAGAGGTTGCCAGAGAATGTCCAGAGAGTCATGAAGATCCCCAGGGAAAAGGAAGGAGGAAAAACAAACATAGTGTGTGTGTATATATATATATGGCTCTCCTATATACATTGATGGACTTGCATTTTCCTTGTAGTAGTACTACTGTATGCATCTGTGATATGGATGGTACATAAGTAGCGCATAGCAATACGTACACACATTTTCCACATGTACTTTGCATATGTAATGCGTACACACACATTTTCCACATGTACTTTGCATATGTAATGGAATTCTTCCAGGATTGACTGCAATAAAGACTCTTTGGTTGCAACTGACTTTGCTCGTAAGAGTTGGCACATGGTAAGGGCAACTCCAACTTACCCTTTCTCCAAAAATTTGTTTTTCCTGCATATTTCACAGTAAATTGCTATGCCACTGCATATCTAATCCAGGTACCCTGTTACCATAATTGCTTGGCTGTGCTTTTATGATCTTTTATGACAGCATGAGTAACACCTAAAAAGAGGTAAGACTGTTCATAAAACTTGACAGAAAACAGCTGTGACACAACACATTGGACTAGGAAGTAGCAGCTCCCAGAATGCATTCAATAAACTGTATGAAAAGTTTCAGGGGTTGTTTGTGCTTTAGTGGGTGAATGGTTTCAACCAGTATGCAAGCGCATTGTCACAAGTGTGCAGTATCAGTATATATACGGTAGAAATGGCAGCTTCGAACATGCACTGATATCTAGAGGGTATTTTGTGATAAAAGCAATATTTTTTTTTGCAGATACCATAGCCATTTGCTGTGTCAACACATCCAAGCTGCATTTGCACTTAGAATGCAACTATTTTATATATACATTTTTCTTATATAGTACATACAGTTATGGAATGGGTGGCATATAAGTCACCTATGCCCTTACAGACACAAGTTTTCTACATTTTTCCTGCATATGCAATGGTATTCTTCCAGGTTTCAATGCAGTAAAAGATCTTTGCTTAAAATATCGATTGATCACAAGAGTTGGCAAATCCCAGGGGCACTTCCATTTCCCCCTTGCTTCAGAAAAGGCGTTTTAACCTGCATATTCCATGGTAATGCTGTGTCACTGCAAATATAACGGCAGACATTTTATTGCCATAAATGTACCCATGGCTGTGGGCAAAACTTAAACTATGTCAGTATAAGTTCATCATGGTAACCAGAAGTGCACAAGACCAAGTAAAGGAAACACTTAAACAACCTTACCAAACAACTGTATCTATAGAATGGCTGCCTTGCTTGTGCATTGATGCAGCAAGTTACCATGAAGTATGCAAAAAAATGCAACTACTTGAGGAGGGGGAGTAGATTGGAATTTGCACTTTCATTTGCTAAAAGAGTTCCATGATGTCAACCAAAAGGCGACCTGGCAATCCAATATCAAAAACCACCAATGCAAATACAAAGTGCTATGTATATGTATATATATACTGTCTTTGCAATAGCTGTATACCTAGGTAGTACCTATACATTAATATATACATGAAGTACCAACTGACACAATGAATCTCTATGTTTCAAGATGTTGTTGGGCAAAGAACTTTGCCATTCATGCACTAAGGCCACCTATCAAAAAACAATAGAGCTACAAAAAGCAAGCAACCAAGAATAGAGCTAAGGATTAACAAACCAAAAACAGTACATCTCCCAAGAACTTTAATCTTTCATATATGTTCACAAGAGGAAAAAGAAGCATCAAATAGTCAAAATAACGCCTAAAACCACGTATTTTTGGGGACCTGGTGGCGTCCCACTCTCTAAATTAAAACCCGAAATAAAAGAACTAAACTTTTTCGATTTTAACAAAGGGACCCTAATACAAAACACCCCGAGGTTAATTAGTTTTTATGATTAAGGGGGTATAACCCTCAAATGGACCTTGATTTTTAAATTATTTTCTAAAGAGGATCAATTAAAACTCAAACTGACCAATCTGAAGCTTCCCAAAACAAAGAATCTTGGGTAGTTTTTATTATTTAGGGGAGTTTTAGTAATAGGGAGAAGGGATTAGTTGCGGAATCTACTGGCAATTTGTTTGTGAATGCGTCCCTATGAAACAATCCCCAGGAGATCACTGGCAAATTTCCTGGCTACTTATCTCCATCCGCGGGTTTGAAGTTCGCCGATGTGCCTAATGGCTTGGCTGCCATCTCAAAGGTCCCAGCTGCAGGACAGCATCATCGTCTTCGTCGTCGCCATCATCATCACCACCACCACCATCATCATCATCATCATCATCACCAACATCAACATCATCATCATCATCACCATCATCATCATCACCATCATCATCATCATCAGCAGATCATCAGATCATCAGATCATCAGATCACCACATCATCATCATCATCATCATCATCATCATCATCATCATCATCATCATCATCATCATCATCATCATCATCATCATCATCACCATCAACATCATCATCATCATCATCATCACCATCATCATCATCATCAACATCAACATCATCATCATCATCATCATCGTCATCATCATCATCATCATCAAATTTGATATAAAACATATTTGATTTGTTCCTCTTGGTGGGTATGCTTGTGGGTGATGCCATTATGACAGAATTGTATATACGTGGTCCTTCAACATACACTGTAAAATGCTGTTCGGCTGATTTGCGTGATTTTGTTTGGCCCCGTATTGAAGCCCTGGAGGATGGGGTCAGATCTTGGCATACATGGCCTTCTGCGAGGTTTCCCAGGATCAGACCCCAGGAACTGATGCGTATGCTGGAGACTTTGGATTCAAGGTGTTGACTGCGTCCGACCCTGCTGAGAAAACCAAGAAGCTCAGTGCCGAACTTGCGAACGGAAGGCTGGCGATGATGGCTATCATCGGCATGTTTTTCCAGGTGGGATGCGGTGAAAACCTTTTGACCTTTTGGAATTCGCTTTGTTGTGTCAGCTGCACCTTACCGGGTACGTATCGGAGTATTGAAGAGTCACGGTTTGAAGTCATGTCAGGAATCTGGTGCCACATGCCCTTGTATGTATGTAGGTAGGTAGGTCGGTTCTTGCTTGCTTGCTTGCTTGCTTGCTTGCTTCTTTCTTTCTGTCTTGATTCGTTCTTTCGTTCTTTCTTTCTTTCTTTTCTTTCTTTCTTTTCTTTCTTTCTTTCTTTTCTTTCTTTCTTTTCTTTCTTTCTTTCTTTCTTTCGTTTTTTGTTTCTTTGTTTCATGTTTCTTTGTGTGTTTGCCACATCATGTTTCGTTTTGCGATGCTATGTTATGCCGCTATGCAATGCATGTAATGTACTTAATGTACTGTACTGTGGTGTGATGTGATTTGATGCAATGTGGTGTAAAGTAACTTGATGTAAAGCAATGTAATGTGATGTAATGTAATGTAATGCAATGTGTGTTTGTATTGTATGCAACGTATGTATTGGATGTGAAGTCTGTATTGTATGCAACAGTAATGTGATGTGATGTGATGCAATGTGAAGTAGCCTAACCTAATGTAGTGTATGGGTTGCATTGGCGGTATGGAATGCATGGGATGTCTGGAATGTATGGAATGTTCGAATGTATGTATGTCTTTGTATTTGTGTATGTACATGTACATGTAAAAGTATATGTATGTGCATACCTGGATCTTCACTTAGCACTTTTTTCTGCTCATAGCAATTTTCGCTTGGATTTACGCTCGTTCTGACTCTTTATGCTTACTTGAACTAAAAAACGCATGTTTGTTTCTTGACGGACGGGTATTTACGCTTTTTCCCCGGGTATTTACGCTTGTTTCCCGGGAAAATGCGCTCATAATTTTGGCTTCAAAATGCACAAAATGCACAAAATGCACAAAATGCACAAAATGCACAAATGCACAAAATGCAAAAATGCCAAAAGTGGTGCAACTACGCTCATATAGAGAAACCGCTCAAAAAGCAGAATTTCTCAAATGAGCATTTATTTGCTTTTTCGAGGATACAGGTAAGCATATGCATGCGCATATGTGCATATATGCAAATGTGCATTGTGTATATGTGTATGTGTGTACGCGTATATGTGTATGTGTTTGTGTACATATATATATGTATATGTGTATATGTGTATATGTGTATGTGCATGTGACTGTATGTGTATAGATGCGGATGTGTATTTGTATGTATGCAATGCAACGCAATGTAAAAGAATGGAAAGGAATGTAATGGGATCTAGTGTAATGGTATGTAGCGAAATGGTATGTAATATAATTGTATGTAGTGTAAGGGTATGTGTAATGGTACGCAATGTAACGGCATGTAATGTAATGGTATGTAATGTAACGGCATGTAATGTAATGGTCGAAGGAAGTTTAGAAGTCAAACTTCCGACAGTATGGACAGATGGAAAAACAGAGGTGGGCAGAGTCAGAGAAGAGAAAGAGGAAGAAAAAAGAAGATGCAGGTGCGCGAAAAGGTAGAAAAGTCGCCAAGCACTGTGTCTTTCCAATGTTTTGTGGCTCTGGAGGGTCAAAAAGTAGGCTCGCAGAAGTGGCGGGTGCGGAGCCATCTGGCCAGATGAGAGGTGAACAATTGCACGCCAAGTCAAAATGCTAAAACGCCTCATGCTCGGAGCACTTTTGGAAGTTGAGATGTTAAAGAAGTGCACACGGTTGTGGCGCGAAACCCAATTTGGAAGTCAAATTGTAAAAACACAGCGGGTTCGGAGGAAGTTCAGATGATGAAAAAGTGCATGGTGGCGCGAAGCATGTTTCCAAGTGAACATGTACAGAGCGCTTTAGCCCCAGAGCACTTTTGGAAGTTAAGATGTTCAAAAAGTGCACTGCGTTGCGGCGTGAAGATGTCCAAGTGAAAACCGTACAAAGCGCCTTAGCTCCGGAGCACCTTTGGAAGTTAAGATGTTGAAAAAGTGCACGCTGTTGTGGCGCAAAGCACATTTCGAAGTGAACATAATAAAAACACCGCATGTTTGCGCCACTTTCGGACATTGAGATGTTGAAAAAGTGACAAGGTGCACGCCATTGTGGCGCGAAGCGCGTTTCCAAGTCAAAATGATAAAAGCACCACATGTTCGTGCCACTTTTGGACATTCATGACACGACGACAACAACAGCAACAGCAGCAGCAACAGCAACAGCAACAGCAACAGCAACAACAACAACAACAACAGCTACTACTACTACTACTGCTGCTACTGCTACTACTACTACTACTACTGCTACCACTACCATGACGATGACGACGACGACGACGACGACTACTACTACTACTACTACTAGTACTAGTACTAGTAGTACTACTACTGCTACTGCTACTACTACTACTACTACAGCTACAATTCCCACCACCCCTACATTGAACTACACTACAACTACAACTCCAGCTACAACTACACATGTATGTATGTAATGTAATGCAATGTAATGCAATGTAATGCAATGTAATGCAATGTAATGCAATGTAATGCAATGTAATGCAATGTAATGCAATGTAATGCAATGTAATGCAAAGTAATGCAATGTAATGCAATGTAAAGTTGTAATGTGTGCACCTATGTTTGTTTGTTTTGTTTTATGTTGTTTTGTTTTGTTTGTTTGTTTGTTTTTTGTTTGTTGTATGTTTGTATTTTTGTTTGTTTGTATGTTTGTATGTTTGTATGTTTGTATGTATGTATGCATGCATGCATGCATGCATGCATGCTTTGGCCGTGCGGGTTTGCCCACTCACAGCTTGTCCATGTTGCCAGGATGGCTTGACCGGAAGTGCCTGGGGTGATTGGGCCAACTACACTGCCTCACCTTTGCGCTGAGTTGTTTGCACGCCATTGCTAGCTCCAATTCGAGATCCTGGCAACTTGCTGGGATCTGGTATCAATCTAGATAAACCTGTGAGGGTTCAAAGTTAAAGGGTTTAAGGCTAACGTTTCAATCGGTTTCAAGGGTTTAAAAGTGCAAGGGTTCAAGGGTTCAGAAAGTTGAAGGCTTGAAGAATCCAGGGCGGCCCCCCGAAAGCTTAAAGGCTTGAATGTCCGGCCTAGGGCGTAGCCCCCCCTAGAGAGAAGCTAGTTGAGTGATGCGCCTCAGTTTGCCTTGGACGCCAACCTGTGTTGGCGAACCCTAAACCCTAAACCCTAAACCCTAAACTTTTAGGGCTTGCGCCACTTATGCGCCAACACAGGTTCTTTGCTAGAAAAGTTTTAGTGCCAACCTTGTTTAACCCTAGAGTCCTTTAACTTTAACCCTCTGACATCCTTTGACCCTATCATCCTTTAAGATTGAAAATCTTAGAACCCTTGCATCCTTTAACCCCAACACCCTTTAACTGAACCCTTACATCCTTTAACCCCAACATCGTTTAACCCTAAAATCCCTAAACCCTAACATCCCTTAACCCTACAATCCTTTAACCCTAACATCCTGTAACCCTCCAAATCCGACAACCCTAACATTGTTTAACCCTCAAATCCTGTAGCCCTAACATCCTTTAGCACTAAAATAGTTTAAGAGCAGCTCCGGGCATCTCCTCTCAGTACTACTTTCCTCTTTGACGTTCCTTGCGTGGGCCTTTTCTTTGAAGCTTCCAAGAAGCTCCGGGCCTTTCCTCTCAAGACTACTTTCCTCTTTGACGTTCCTTGCGTGGGCCCTTTCTTTGAAGGTTCCAAGCAGCTCCGGGCCTTTCTGCTCAGTACTACTTTCCTCTTTGACGTTCCTTGCGTGGGCCCTTTCTTTGAAGGTCCAAGCAGCTCCGGGCCTTTCCTCTCAGTACTACTTTCCTCTTTGACGTTGCTTGCGTGGGCCCTTTCTTTGAAGGTTCCAAGCAGCTCCAGGCATCTCCTCTCAGTACTACTTTCCTCTTTGACGTTCCTTGCGTGGGCCCTTTCTTTGAAGGTCCAGGGGTTCAAGGGCTCAAGGGCTCAAGGGTCCAGGGGTACAAGGGTTCAAGGGTCCAAGGCTGCAAGGGTCCAAGGGTCCAAGGGTTTCAGGGTTCAAGGGTCCAAGGATTCAAGGGTCTCAAGGGTCTCAAGGGTCCAAGGGTCAGGGTTCAAGGGTTCAAGGTCCCAGGGCTCAAGGATCCAGGGTTCTGGACTTAAAAAAAAATCCAAAAGGCTGACTCACATAAAATTTGGTGCTCGTAAAGCTGGTGTTATTATTGTATGGTTGGGTTGGGGTAATGGCGCTAAATTTACGAGGCGCATAAAGTCATGCTACGTTATGCAACGTGCGCGCACTAATGGTATTCTATATCTACGCCTTTCATGGAGTTGATGCAACGTTGAAAGCGGGGGTGGGTCGGGTGGGATAGAAATTTAAAGGAATACAATCGATACACCTTTGTCAGCAATAAAAGTGATTCCTAGTAACATCCGGGCGGGTGTTGGTGGGGTCAAGAAGGTTGTGGACACCTGGCGATTGTTATGCACAAAAAAAGATAAAAACAATATGAAATTGGGGGCGATATAGCTATAGTGTGGGAAATCTATTAGGAGTAGTTAGATAATATAGATGTTTATAGATTTTTAATATATTATGGGTTGTTTAAAAATATTTTGGGTAAATTATTTTATTTTTGAAAATTATTTATTATGAAAAATATATGTTACATACATTATTTGATTGATATCGATTGGCATTATTTAATAGAAATATTTTTTATTTTTTTTAGAAATCTGTTTTATATATATATATATTTAATTTACAATAATTGTTATTTATTTTTTATTATTAGATATATTTTAATATCTAAATTTATTTTGAAATTATTTTAGTGAAAATAATATTTATATTAAGATTATTCTTTTTTATATAAATATATTTATAATTTAATTGTTTTAAGACATTATAAAAAGGGGGATTTAATTGATTCTTGTAAGCGCTGGAAAGCGCATCGATTAGATACATACATGTTACTATGCTTGGGGAAGGTAATTGAGGAAAACGCGTTGATATGCACTGCCGTTGGGAGAAAAATATTTTTCATTTCAAATTCATGGCTCTTGATTCGCCGTATGATGTAAATCCCGAATGAGAATGGTTGCTGTGAAGCTTGGATGAATGCAATAATGAATACATGAGACATGGAACAATGAAGAAAAAGGATGAACACCATATGAAAAAGGAAAAATAAAGAACATATATTAATACCATGTAAAAAAAATATTCCGGCAAGAGGCCCCAAACAGTGTGGGCGAGTGGGAGGATAATGTATGATAATGTGGATGATGATGGTGATGATGATGGTGATGTTGAGGATGAGGTTGAAAATGTTGCGGACGATGATGTTGAGGATGATAATATTGCGGAAGATGAGGTGTGGAGGGGGATGATGTTGCGGAAGATGAGATGGAGGATGATTGATGATGTTAAGGGGGAGGAAGATGAAGATTTTGAGAATGATGATGTTGAGGAGGAGGAAGATGATGATATTGAGGATGTTGTGGTTGATGAGGTGTAGGGTGATATTGAGGATGATGCGGAGGCTAATAATGATGAAGATGGTGATGGTAAGGGGAGGAAAAGGATGATCTGAAAATAATAATATTGAGGAAGAAGATAATGATTTTGAGGATATTGTGGAGAAGGAGGAGATTTGGTTTACGATATATATATATATAAATATATTGAAACAAAATCCAATATATATATATATAAATATATTGAAATAAA